CAAACACACACATGGACACCCCCCACCTCCTCCCAGGGCGCCGTGCCCCCCCTTACCCCACGCCCGAGAGCAGCCTGCAGAAGAGGAAGGTGCCGTAGCCTTGGACGAAGGAGGAGAAGAAGGCGAAGACGCTGTTGACGGAGAGGGAGATGAGGAGGCACTGCCGTCGGCCCAGGCGGTCGGCCAGCCCGCCCCACAGGAAGGCGCCCACCATCATGCCCAGGTACACGATGAGCCCTGGGGGGGGGGACACGGGATGGGGGACACGGGGACAAGGGGGGGGACACAGCGGTGTCAGCCCCTCAGCCCCACGCACCGAGGGACCCCCGGCACCGGCGGTGCTTGGGGCGAGGACTCGGTACTGGGGGGTGCTGAGGGGGTGCAGGGGGCAGAGATCCCCCCCCCAGCATAAACCAGAGCCCCCCCCCTCCTCTCATTGTCTGCATCCAGCCCCCCCCCCCCCCCCCCTCCTCCTGCCCTGAGTTTGCCAGGTCTGGGCGGGGGGGGCACACAATTACACTCGGAATTTGGGCTGCAATGGGGGGGGGAATGGGAGGGGGGGGTGCCGCAGTGCAGCCAACGCAGCCACCCGCAGCCCCCCCCCCCAGAGCACTCAGCGTCCCCTTATCAGCCCCGAGCAGGACCAGGGAGATAAGCCTGCGGCTCCGGGGGGGGGGCACGAGGCACTGCCTGGCTGCGCAGTGATGCTCACCCCCCCCTCCGGCTGCTGCCTCTCCCCCCCCCCCAGTTTTCCCAGCTGGGCCCAGTGTGGGACTGGGAGGAGGAGGCTGGAGGGAGCTGGATGCCCAGAGAGCTCCTGAAACCCCCCATGTCCCCAAATCTCCTGTGTCCCCCCCCATGTCCCCTGTCCCCTCCCGTGTCCCCCCCATCCCCGAGTCCCGCTTGTCCTTCAGGGGGAAGGACACGCACACCCCCCCCACCCCATGGCCTCCCACACTTCCTATGTGCCCCAAATCCCCCCAAATCTCCCCAAATCTCCCCAAATCCCCCCCATCCCCATCTCCCTCCCTGTCCTCCCACACCCTCCCCCCACCCTGTCCCCCCCCATTCTCCTTTCTGCTCCCGTGCCCCCTATATGCCACGTCCCCCCACATCCCCCCCCTCGATGTCCCCCATGCCCCCTCTGCCCCTCCCCGTCCCCTCGGTGTCCCTCCATGTCCCCTTATCTGCTCCCCCCCCCATACCCCACGTCCCCTTCCTTGTCCCCTCTCTCCTCACGTCCCCCACACCCCATTTCCCTCTCCGTGTCCCCCACATCCCAGCTGCCCTTCCATGCCCCCCTACCTTCTCTTGTCCCCCTCCATGTCCCCTAATCTGCTCGTGTCCCCATACCCCATGTCCCCACCCCACCCCACCCCATGTCCCCCATACCCCTGTCCCTCCCTGTCCCCCTACCCTCCCACTCCCCCCCCTCACTCCCCTGTCCCCCCACATCCCCTCCCTGCCCCCTCGACCCCACCCCTGTCCCAAAAGCCCCCCCCCAAGGCTCACCCAGCATCCCCTTGTTGGAGTCGGAGAGGCACATGTCCTTCTCGGCGCTGGGCAGCACGAAGCCCACCACGAAGACCTCCACGCCGTCGGCCATCAGGGCCAGTCCCAGGACGAAGTAGAGGGTCCACTGGAAGCGGCCGTGGCCGCACTCCTGCAGGATCAGCTCGTATTGCTGCGCCAGCTCCTCCTTGTCCTTCCTCCGCTGCCCCTCGGTGTCGTCGAAGGCGCCGGCGGCCGCCTCGGCCCCCAGCCGCTCCCCGCCTTTCATCGAGTCGTGCCGGGGGATGCCCTGGTACTCGCCCTCGTAGATCTCGTCCTCCTCGTCGTGGCCCGGTGGCGTCGCTGGAAGCCCCCTCCTCCTCGTTGGCCCCCTCGCCCCCCCGGTAGTAGCCGTCCTGCGGCGGGTAGTCTTCATCGTCCTCCTCCTCCTCGAAGCGGGTGTAGGAGCGCTTGGTGTACTCGTCCTGCATGCGGTCCATGCCCTTGCTCACCTTCTTGGCCGCGTGCTTCTTCACCTCCTTGGCGATGTCCTTGGCGCCCCGGATGAACGCCGTCCGGTCTCGGAAGCTCTCATCCATGGTGCCGGGGGGCTGGGTTTGGGCACCGGTGAGGAATTGAGGCCGGGGAGGGGGGCTCCGCGTCGGGGCTGCGCCCTCACGCCCTTGCTCGGCAGTGGGGTGTTTGGGGCCGGGCGGCGGCGCCGCCACCCATCCACGTGGCGAAGGCTGGGAGGGGGCGCGGGGTGGGGGGGGACCCCAGACCTGGGGAGCCCAGACACAAGCGGAGCCTGCATTAGGTTGGGAATGGCCCCGCACAGCCCCCCGAGGTCTGCGAGGCCCAAGGACGGCGCAATTTACAGCACTTTTCCTCCCGGTTCAGATGGAGACGGGAGGATTTGGGGCACCTCCGCCCCGTGGTGAGGCTGCAGGGACCTGGGCAGGAGAGCCCGGCTTGGGGTCGCAGGAACAGCTCCACAGCCATGCACACTCATGCACACCCATGTACAGCCATGCACACCCAAGCACAGCTGTGCACAGCCATGCACATGCATGCACAGCCTCTCACAGCCATGCACAGCCATGCACAGCCATGTACACCCATGCACACTCATGCACACCCATGCACATGCATGCACAGCCGTGCACACCCATGCATACCCACACGTAGCCACGCACACCCATGCACACCCATGCCCACCCCCACACCACCCAACACCTCCGTCCCCCTCCCCGCGAGGCCGGAGCCGCGCCGCCGGCTGCTAATTTTAACTAATTGGAGCCGATCCAAACAGAGGGGGGGGGAGCAGATAGATAAATTTCTCGATGGATCGATGAAGTGGCTGCTTGGCTGCCGGTAGCTCCAGCGCCCGGCCGGGACGCCGCAGCCCCGCTCCCCATTTGGCCACGCCGACTGCCGGCTCCATCTGCCGCGGCGCTGCCCGGCTGTCGGAGGGATCCGCGAGGTGCGAACCGCTTGTCAGGACAATCTGGGGAGCAAAAAAATTGAGGGGGGGGGGAAAGGGGGGGCTCATGGCAGTTGTGCGAGGGGCGGCCAAGCTTCGTGCCACCATGCGCGGCGCCGCCACGCGTGTCCCGGCCACGTGCGCGCCACCCCCTCGTGCCCACCCGTGCGCACGTGGCGGTGCCGGGGGGGGGGGATCGATAATTGGGAGGTAAATTTGCGGTCAGCAGCCAGATGCGATGCGCGGGGGGGCTGCCACGGGGAGTGTGTGCACGGCTCCTTAACCCCCTCCCGGCCACGAGCGGGACCCCCCCGCCGCAGCGACGCCTTCCCAGGACACGGAGCCTCCGTCCCTAGGGGCCTGGCGTCCCCATGGGAGCGCGGCACCGGGGGGGATTTTGGTGATGGGGGGGCTCAGGCAGCACCCAGGGGCGCAGCACCCATGGGATGGGCTCTGAGGGGTGCCCGCAGCCTGCTGCCCACCCTGCAGCAGCCCGCCTGGCTCTGGGGAAACTGAGGCACAGCCGGGGACGGGGCAGCCTGTGTGTCCCCCCCCTCCGGCTCCGCTCCCCTCCTGGCTCTCAGCCCTGCTTGGGGAGAACTCGTCAAGGTCGCCTCGGTGCCAGGAGCTAATTTACTGTGCTGACATTAAGGCACCAGACAAAATCCGGCACCCAGGCGCTCGGGTGGCGTATATACGGCGCGAGGATTTATCGGCCCGCGCTCAGGCGGGGGCTCTCCATGGGGCCGGCAGCAGCCCCCCGGAGCAGCCCCCAGGGTGCCCGTGCTGCTCCCCAGCTCCCTGCAGTGGGCCTGGGGGTCCTCATGGGCTGGATCCAGCTTCCTGGCACAGAGTGGGGTCACCTCCCAGATCCCCACCCTGGGAAGTGCCCCGCTTATCCTTATCCCATCCCCAGCTCCATCTTCATCTCTGTCCTCAACCCTGTTCCCATCCCTGTTCCCATTCCCATTCCCATTCCCATTCCCATTCCCATTCCCATTCCCATTCCCATTCCCATTCCCATTCCCATTCCCACCTTCATTCTAGTCCCCATCCTTTCCCCATTACCATTCATTCCCATCCTCATCCTCATCCCCATACTCATTCCAATCCCAATCCCCATTCCTGTTCCCAGCCCCAGCCCCACCTTCATCCTCATCCTCATCCTCATCCTCATCCTCATCCTCATCCTCACCCTTATCCCCATCCCATCCCATCCCATCCCATCCATCCTTGACCCTATCCCTTTCCCCATCCCATAATCTGGGGGTGCCACCAGGCCCCCCAAAAACCCCTCGACCTCCTGTGGTGGCACCAGGGGACATTTGGCTCCGTCACGGCCGTGCCACGTCGCCACCAGCCCCCCTGTGCTGCACTGCTGGGGAAAATGAGACACACACAGCTCTGAGCTGGGCACTGGGACAAACTGGGGGGGCCCCAGTCATGCACCGGAGGGGTCTGTGCGGCCCCATTTCTGGGGCTGAAGCAGGAGAAAGGGGGGGGGAGCGAGGGATTTCACGCCCCCGGGGTCTCCCCCCGCAGACCCCGCTGCTTTCTAACGAGCTTAATTCCCTGTTGAGTCAACACCATGCTCCAGCACCCCCGGCCCCGACCCCAAAGCCACCCCGCTGGGATGTCCCCGTCCCTTTAGGGGGAGGTTGTGGCAAAGAAACGTCCCCTTCCACCTCCCTGCTCCCCCTCCGTGCCTCAGTTTCCCCACCAGCCCCATCCAGGAGCCACTGGGATGGGGCGCAACCGTGCCAAGCCCCAAAATGACAAATCCTCCGGGCTCTTCTTGGCACCGCTTTCCCTTTCCTCGTTAGCCGGGCGCTTCGTTAGGCTCGATGCCCTGTTGGGACGTCCCGGCCGGGTGCGGGGCCGGGCTGCGGGGGGCTCGGTGGGCGCTGGAGGCCCATCCGTCATCTGGAAAAGCGCAGCGCTCGCTCCCGCAGCCGTCCCTTCCCGTAAGCGCTCGTTAATTAACGCCAAATCGCCGGGCGATTACAGGACGCGGAAATCAAATGACTTCATTGTGAGGAAGGTTTATTGCCGCCGGGGAGCGACAGGACGAAGAATCATTTGCCACTTATTGGAAAGGGCCGCGGGGATCGTGCGCCGCTGCCGTGCCGGAGGGACGGAGCCACCCCAAGAGGGGGACACCAAGCACCCGTCCCCTCCGCCCCGCTGTCCCCTGCCCGGGGAGGTGGCACCCGGGGGACACCGAGGGCGGTGATGCTGTTTGGGGTGGAAACGTCCCCGTGGGGTGCGGGGACACGGGGTGGCCTCGCCACGCTGCAGAACCGGCGTCGAGCCCGGTGGCACCGTGGGGCACGTCCCCGGCAATGGGGACACCGTTTGGAGAGGGCTGTTTGCGTATCGTGACCCCCCAAAATCGCCCCCAGGGACTTGGCGCAGGAGCCGGGGTGGGATTTGCCGTGGCGCAGCGGGGAGGAGGACATCGGGAAGGGAGAAGCCGCCCCGGCCCCGCTCATTAAAACCCTTTTCTTCCCGCTTTGATCGCCACGGCCGGGGTCAGCGCGGGCGGCGGCGGCACCCGTGGCCGGGGCTGCCGAAACGAAACGGTGACCGCCGGAGGGGTGTGTGTGGGGGGGGACCCATCCCCAAACCGGTGCCCCCCACCCCCTCGGCTCAACGCGGGCCCGCATGAAAAGCCGGGACCTGGTCAGGTTAACGGAGGAAAAAGGATACTCGGCTTTACAGTAACGCGCACTATAGAGCCACTGTTTCAGCGCTGACCCCCCGGGTCAGAGGTGAAGGGTTTCCCAGGAGTGTCTTTGAAGAGAGCCATCTTTGATGAGAAAAGAGCCTCTATACAGATGTCTCATAATTACCATGAGAATGTGGAGCACATGGCGGCCGCGCTGGCCCCAAAGGGAGCTTTAATGGAATGTCATTAAAACGCCCCGTTCCCGTTCCGAGGCTTCTCTCCCCGCTCGCCCCACTTTAACCTCTTCCAGGCTCCTTCCCCCGACTCAGCCGCGCGCCCGGAGCCGGGTGTCCCCGCGCCACGGGGGGCTGGGGGTGCCCGGGGTGGCCGCTGGGGTCTGGTGGCATCGGTGTGAGCCTCGTGCCCCATGGGTGTGCCCCGTGCGACGTCCCCGGCCCCGAGGGACTCCGGCACCCTATGGCCCTCCAAAGCGGTGCCGGGCGCCCGTCTCCCTTCCCCAGCCCCAGGGAGGGCAAGGAGGGGCAGCCCGAGGCTGAAGGCTTCCCCTCTTCCCCGCCTCGAGCTGCCTTTTCCCAACCTGCACCAAAATCCTCGGGGAACTGGGAGGAAACCCCGACCCCGTGCCAAAAATTCAACCGGGGTCTCCGCGCCGACGCCGCGGGTCCCCGCAGGGAGGCCGGGCGGCTCCTCCGCCCCTGCCCTTGGCCTTCCACCCTCCCCGGCTGCCTCCAGGTGATAAATTGCCGCTAATAAATCCGGCCACGGGGCTGATCTGGCTGTAATCCGCCTTTGATACACTCGGGGAGCGGTGTCGAGGGCAGCGGCAGCCCCGGCGCGAGGCGCGGGGTTAATCTCCGTGAAATCGCCCCCGCAGCCCCGCTATTATCCGCGGGGCCGGGGGGCACGGGGCGCACCAGGGCGGCCGGTCCCGGTGGGTTTTTGGTCCTTTTTCCCCTTTGCTCCAGCCACCGGCACATCTTTGGGGTCTTCGGGGATGTCTCGAGGTGGTTTCCCGGCCGGGGAGCGATCCGGGGGTGGTGGCACCAACACGCGGCTGAAATGGGTCAAAAACACCGAGATTGGAGAACGCTGTGTAAAGGGAAAAATACCCAACCTGGGGGCGGTCAGAGGCTTTCCCTCAAGGGCTGTGGGATTTTTTTAGGGCAGAGAAGAGGCAAAAAGACGATTTGAGGTGGAAAAGCTCATTTGGATCATTTCAAATCCGCCCTTCGTGGCTCGGCAGGGCCACACGGGCTGTCCCCCTCCATGGGAACGGGGCCGGAGCCGCAGCGGGGGAGAGATGGGGACGGACGGGGAAAGGGACGGAGGGGAAGGGGAGAGCTGGAGAGGGAGGCAGGGATGGAGAAGGAGGAAGGGACGGAGAGGGAGAGAGGGAGAAAGGGATGGAGAGAGAGGGAAGGATGGAGAGAGGGAGGCTGTGCGTGGAGGTCCAGATTTGGGGCCGGAGGGTTCCGGGCTTGAGGCCACCTCGGCACAGCCCTAAATCAAGTCCAGCTTGGTCGAGGCTTCCTGCTGGAAGCGTGCACGGGTCCCTGATGAAATCCACCCGCCCCATTTGCTTCTCCTCTCCCGTTCCCCGCAGTCCCTCGGGGCCCAGGTACCTGCGTGCGGCGCTGGAGGCCGGGGGGCGGCTCGGACCCTGGGAGGGGGGCGCACGGCGTCCTGCAGCTTTGTACACGGGGAGGGCCAGAAAACCATTTCTAAGGGAAAAATAATAAAAAAAAGAGATATATAAATAATAATAATAATAAAAAAGTGGTGTCTTGGCTGAGGAAACATCCCCATTAGACACCCTGCAGCAGCGTGGCTCCCGGCCCCCTTCCATTGTCAGGGAAAGGTCAGCCCCTGACTAGTTAGTTATCATTAGCTAAGGCCAATTTAATCACCGCCACCGTGTATAAATCACCGCGGACAGACAGGGCCCTTTCCTCCCTCCCGCCTCCCCGCCTCAAAGGTTGACAAATCTCCCGGCCGTCTCCCCCCAGCCCCGCCGGCTGCCCAAGGGCCTCGGCCGCCTGGCCAAATATTAAAGGACGCGGTAAATCACCGGGGCGCTGCCCATCCATCAGCCTGTCAGCCTGAAGATCAGGGTCACGGGGACGAAAGATCAGGGGATGGCAGCGGGGCAGGCGCGGGGACGCGGGGGCGAGGCGGGAGGGACGGGGAGGCCGAAGGCTCAGATCCCCCCCCAACCCCCTTGCACCGCACCGGGCGATGCTGCAGGTGGGAATTGGAGGCAGGTGGGAATTGGAGGCAGGGTGGGAATTGAAGGCAGGGTGGGAATTGGAAGCAGGGGGGGAATTGGAGGTGTAATTCGGGGGCGGGATGGGGATGGAGAGGTCCAGGAGGCTCCCCCATGGCCACCCCGTGCCGCTCCCGAGGGATGCTCGGGGCTCAGGACGGAGCCGGACGAGGCACCCAACTTTTTCCTGCCTCCCTCCCTCTTCCTTTTCTCCCCCCCCTCTTTTTTTTTTCCCTCTTTTCTTCCCCTCACTTTTTATTTTTTTTTTATTTTTTTTATTTCAATCTAATTGAAGGGGGGGGGGGGGGAGTGGAAGATAAGAGCTGCCAGGGCTAATTACACCTCATTATTCCAAAGGATCTCTCACGCCTCACTTCTCCTCAAACGCCGGCAAAAGCGAGGGGGAGGGGGACGGCTATTAAGGGAAAAGCCTGGTGGAAAACAAAGTTGGTTAATTCACACGCTGCGGCTGTGTGGGGGCTCCCCTCCGCCCCCCCGGGGCGCTGTGCCGGGCTCGCCCCGCCGTGGGGCCGCAGCCGCTGGGGCTGAGCGGGGCTGGGGGGGGCCCTGGTGAGGACAGAGCCCAGCTTTGGGATGGTTTTGGGGTGCTCGGAGGCGTCAAGGCCACGTCTTTGGGTGTCCCCAGCTGGACTCAGCCCGGTTTGGTTTTGGGTTTTTGGTTTTGGGGATGTCGCCGGCTCGCTCCGTGCCTCGGTTTCCCCAACCATGCGGGGCAAAACCCCAAATTCCATAAGTTCCATAAAAGCCCTGCAGAAAACCCCAAAAAGAACAGGACGGCTCCATTAGGGAGCACCTTTGGGTACAGTCGAGCCCCACCACCCCGTTTCCTCAGGTCTAGCCACAAATTAAAGTCGAAAATCGAAGGGCAATTTCCTCCTGGACATCGACAGGCACGGGGCACCAACTTCACCAGAGGCTGAAGGAATTTCTCCCATTGCCCAGCCCGAACCTTCCCGGCACGGCTTTGTGCAGACCCCTTGGGATCCCTGCAGCTCCCCGAGCTTCAGAGGGAGCCCAAATTAACCCCCAAATCCTTTCGGAGACCTCTTATGGAGGGGGCACAGAGGCTGAATTTTTTCGGCATTCCCCTCTCCGCAGCAATTTCCCTGAGTCTTTACAGCACCTCCCGGCTCCTAAATTCCTCCCGTGGTGTAGCTGGCCACAGGTGAGAGATCCCAAATGCCCGAAAAACGAGAAGGGAAAACTTCCCTCCTGGCACAGATGGGGACGGGAACCCCCCTGGTTTGGGAAAAGCTCCGGGGGTGAGGGGTACCCCCAAAACCTGCCCCAGGTCTGTGCCTCTTCTCCGACGCATTTACCTCACCAAAGCGCACGGCGCACGCCTGCTCGGCTCCCCAACTGCGAGGCTGTTTTTGGATCACAAAATTTTCCATTTCGTGTTGTGAGGCACGTTAAGGCTCGTGGGGATCACCCCATGGGACTTTTCATTAGGATGAGGCAGGTCCCGAAAAGTTTTTGCGCACGGGATAACGTCTGGAGGACGAGGCTCAGCGTGGCTGGGCTCGGGGTGGACGGGGAGAAATTGGGACCCTCCTGCCCTTTTGGGAGGCCACTTTTGGGATGAATCCATCCCTGTTGGGTACCACGGAGAGTGGGCACCCCAATAATTCCCCAATTTCCCCCTGTGAACCCTTCCCTACCCACCTTGCCCACGGCTGTGCTGTGCCGGTTGGGTTTTCTCCCCACCCCAGCGCTATTCTGGTGGTCCCAACTTCTAGCTGGGGATCCCGTCCCGGGGGAGACGTAAGGATAATTCGGATAATTCAGGTAATTTAGATAATTGCTGCCACTCTGGAAGCAGAAGGCGGCCGCTTCTGCTGCCCACGAGCCCTCCTCGTCCTGGTGTTTTGTGACCCAAAAGTCCTGACACCTTTTATTTAAACCAAGGAGGGCTGAATCCATCTCTTTGTTCTGTTTAAAAATCAAAAAGGCCCCAAAGTAACCTTTAGCAAAAGGCAGGGAAGTTGATTATAGGAAATCTATCCAATTTCTATAAAATAAGGACATGAATACATCACTTCTGCGGGGCCGGGGGACGTCCTCTGAATTTACAAAGAGGAGCAGGCGGTTTTTGAGGATGCCACCAGCCTGAAGCCCGGTCTCTCGCCAGGTATTTTTGGTGCTGCGTTTAGAGATGATAATAAATGGAAGAGAAAAAATAATAATAAGAAGAAAAAGGATAAACCTTCTTCTTTTCAAAGCCCAGATATTTATCTGCAGCCTCCACATCCCCCTGAATAGCCACGGGCTCCAGGACCGCTCTTTCCTGCCTGTTTTTTTGGTTTTTTGTTTTTTTTCTAAGCACAAAAGCCGGGAGAAGTGGGAAAAGGAATTAAAGCGGGGGAAAGCCGATCGCGACCCCTCCGCTGCTGGCACAGCTTCAGAGCAAGGGGGGGACCCGAACCCCCAGCACCCCTGCGTGGGAAGTTGCCGCTTCCCAAGCCAGGAATTCGGACGCCTGCTTGGAGAATAAAGGAAACCAGGAGGCTCCTGCCCGACCGTCCTGCGGGTTCGGGCTCTCCCTTTCCTCCAGCCGCCTCCTTTCTTTGCAGAGCCGCCCGACCTCGCTGGTAATCCTCCCCAGAAACATGAGCGAGACCTTTTTTTCCTTTTTTTTTTTTTTTTTTTCCCCAGAAAAGACCCCAAAGCAGCAGCTCGCTTCTCCCCGCTCCTTGTCGGAGCTTTGCCACGGCGTGAAGCCCGGTTGTGCAGAGCGATGCGATGGCCAAAAATTATTTAAAACCCACCTTGGCTGGACCGCAGCCTCTCCCCTCTGAGCCGGCCCGGAGCGAGGAGCCCTTGGTCAGACCCGGCGAGCACTGAGCAGGAAAACGAATAAAAAAGCAAGAAAATTAGGAAGGAAAGATCACCGTCAATATCGCGTCGGTCTCAAGTTCATTAATTTGTGCTTTAAAAGGCTCAGAGCGGTGTTAAACCAACCTCATCGGCGCCGTGTTGCGGACACCTTTGTGCCTCTGACGCCACATCGCAGAGCTGCTTTTCTCCCCAGGAATTTCTTTTTCCTCCCTGTTGCCACAGCCCGAGTCAAAATCCGACCTCGGTTCGGCAAGCACGGAGGTGCCTTGGAAAAAAAAAAAAAAAAATCCCCCCTCGGAGCTTTGAGCTGCGGAAATTTGGGGAAAAAAAATAAAATAATAAAATGAACGGAGCTTGCTCCGGACTTTTTTGGGTAGCTTTTTCCCCCAAACACGGGGCACGGCTGCCAGCCGAAGTTTTGCAGCCTGCTCCTTCCCCGGCCTCCCTCGGCTGCTCCCGGCTTTAATTTTTCCTTTTTGCAGCATTTTGTGCCAAGGTCGGGGCCGCTCTGCCCGTTCCTCGAAGGAAAAGGCGGCGAGTCCTCCGGGGACAGCCCGGCGTGCCTCCGCGGCTATCTCCGAAAGGAGCATAAAAGATACTTGCAGATTAATACTATTAAGTAGGATTTAAAAAAAATCAAGCAATTGAGGCTGGATAATGCCCTCCATAACAAACCGGCTCTATTCTCCGGCTCCTTGTGTGCCCAGGGGTATTTAGCCTGGCTTTTAACAAAGCTGAAGGATTTGCATTGAAGTCGCGCTTTGGGACTCGGGTCCCTCGCTGGCGCTGGACTTTGTGTGAGCTCATTTCCACCTGCGGACCACGCAGAGCTGGAAAACGCCCCAAAATTGGCTTCTTACCGGCTGCAGGAGGCCACACAGGCAGCACAAGCTCCGGGGCTCAGCACCGCATCCTGCACCCACGGCACACAAGGGAAGGGGACGGAGCACCTGCGGTGGGTGCCGGGCCATTGTCCCCTGCTGATGAGGGGATTTTCCCCTTAGAAGCCCATTTGTTAAAATTTTAAGCGTGTTTCATATCCTATTTCTTTCCCCCGGGAGCCTCTGCGAAGTGGAATTGCTGCCCCAAATTCCCTGCGGCTGGGCTGGGGAGCAGCAAACGGCGAGGGGTGAGTGGTGCGGGGGCACTTTGAGCTCATCCCTCCTGCCCCGATGTCCCTGGGGGCTTCGTACCCTGCCCACGGCGCCTGCAGGGTCACAGCGCCCCGATCCCAAAAGCCAGGACCCGATCCCAAAAGCCAGGACCCGACTCAGGGCCCCGACACGAACAGGGGCCTTGGCACAAACACATTCCAGGTTCTTTGTGGGGTCCCCTCGAAAACAGATTTGGGAAAACCCCTCCGTTCTCTCCGCTCTTTTCTTTTCAGGCTGTGTTAATTGCTTTGCTTTAGAAGGGGACTTCCCAAATGTTTTGGGTGGCAAGCACTCCATTGGGCAAAGCCAGCCCCAATTCACACTTCTCAGCAGCTCGGGGAACTTTTCCTCTGCCCCCAGGTAGCCCTGAGCCAGGCTCAATTTCCTCGTCCTGCAAAAATAACATTTGTTCTTACGCCGGGTCAATATTTCCTGCCGAAATCCCATTTTTCAATCCTTCAATTCCATTTCCCTGACAGGATTTGTTCTGTGGTCACAGGACAATATATTTACCACGCTTTGCCTATTGTCCCTTTTCGGGAGGAGCTGATTGCATTAAAATCTCTCGCCAAGACAAAAAAAAACCAAGCAGATGATTAATTCAAACACGACGCAACCTCTTCGGCCGCGTTTCTTTCCCAAGGTACCTGCTCTCGGGGCAGATTTTGAACCAAAAAACCTTGGGCACGGCTCAGGCACCGCCTGACCCTACAAAATTTATTCTGCGCGACGCTTTCCACGCTCAGCGCCTTCACAGAGGTGCGTGCGAGGAGAGGAGGAATTACAGAGAGCAAATACAGAGCGTGGAGTTTGCACCTGGGAAGATTTTTGTGGCAAACTCGGGGTCCTTGGGGAGGTTTTTGGCTCAGCCACCCAAGGGTCCGGCGCTGCGTCGCCTTTAGGCAGCGTCGCCGGCAGCGGGGGGGTTTCTGGGCTCGGGTTTGGGAGCACCACAAAAACCAAGCAGCATCCCCCAGGGAAATAAAACCCAACAGAGCCCAAGCTGAGGGCTGGAGACGGCGATGGGAAGGGGAAAAAAGGGAAAATCAGCCAGGATGCCACGGGGGGAAGCTCTCCAGGGTTAGGACCCCGACCTGCTGCGGTGAACGCCGTCATGGGGCTGTCCCTGCTTTTTGCTTTCTCACCGCATTTTTCCTATTTTAAAGAAGCTGAGTGGAATCTGAAGGTGGCTGCATCGGGCTGGGTGCATCAGGGACAGCTCCTTTGATGCCGACCTTTTTGCCCCAAACGCCAGGGGATGAAACAGGAGCGAGGGTGAACCCACGGGGATGCGCAGCCAGGAGCCACTGCGGGATCACCCTCGGGGTCTGCCTGGGGGAAAAAAGCCTCGCAGGACAGCTCCTGCCTGTCCCACCAGAACGTCAGCGTGTGTTTATCCCAGATTTTTAATTCCTCCCCCAAACTGGCCACGACCAGGTGAAAAGATGCCCGGATGGGCCAGGCACGACGCAGCCCTCGCGCACCCTGGGGCAGGGGGGGGCCGCAGCCCCCTGGGAGCACCCCCTGGCACCCAGCTGGGGCCAGCAGTGCACCCCAGCACCTCACCACACCTCCACCCATCCCTTTGGGATTTGTGGCTCCACTTTGGGCTGATTTGCCTTATTTTGAGGGCACCCATTTCCCACGGCGCCCGCGGCCTATCGCAGCGCTGGCGGCACCGCCGGGACCCATTTTCCTTCCCCTCACAAAGAGGCACATGGCTGCTTTTTTTTTTATCTTCCCCTCGTTTTGCAGGGAAGGGATCACCACGGCCTCCTGCAGCCCCTCCAGAGCTGATTTCACCATCCCCTAAACCACAAATTATTTGTTTTGCCCGAGCCCCCCCGACCTCGGCAAAAGTTTGGCGAAGGAAAAGAGACGGGGCGAGCGTCAGCAGCGGGCAGGCCCGCGAGTGGCACTGACGGAGGAGTCAATTAAATTAAAAATAAGGAAAAAAAAAGGAAAAAAAAACAGCAGCCCTGCACACTACTTACACCAGAGGGGCAGGTTTGTGTGGATGGGCCAGGTCGAGCCTGGTTTTTCTGCATTAACCCATCACCGCCCTGCCCCACGGACAAAGGGAACGGTGCTGGCCCCCCAGCCCTGCGCCCCAAACCCCAGCACGGCCGCTGCCGAAACGAAAATCCTCCTGGCTGCGTTATTGCTGTTGTTATTTCGGAAACTAGGAGAAAACGGGAGGCAGCAGAAAATCAGATGAAAGCAATTAAAAGTTGGCGAGGTGGCGGCGAGCGGCCGCTGCTGGGCTCCGACCGTGCCGGTGGCATCGCGCCGGGACCGGGGGTGCTGGGGATCGCCCTGGGGGTGCCGAATTTGCTGCATGAGGAGGGGGAATCTGGGGGGTTTGGGGGGTTTTGGGGACCTGCTGAGGGAGGCAGGGAGCTGCGCTTTGCCTCCAGAGCCGTGCTTGCAGCTCCCAGCAGGGTTTCGCCGGCAAAGCCGAAACGACGGCATCGGATGCTGTTCGCTCCTCTGCGGCTGGGCTGGGAGCGCTCCCTTTTCCCTCCCCAGCTGGAGATTAAAGACATTTTAGTTGGAAATACTCAGAAAAAGCACATTTCCCCCCTCCAAACATCACCTTTTTTTTTTTTTTTTCCTAATCCCCAGGTGCAAAAAGGAGAGCTGAAAGCTGCGCCGACCGCGCTGCTGAACCCTGCGCTGACCCTTCGTTAAGCACGGAGAACCAATTACCCATTCCTCTCTCGTTTTGCCTCTCTCCAAGCAGCCCCGCCGGCCCCAGCAGTGCCTTACCCCGCCAGCTCCTGCACATCCAGGTCCCAATGTCGCCTGCAAAAGCTCTGACCGATTTGCATAGCAGTGCGGGCGAGCCGGACTGGTTCGAGGGGACAGAGGCAGCCTTTCCAGGCCCTGAATGGCTTTGTGGAAAAAAAAAAAAAAAAAGCAACAACCCAACCCAACCCTCTAATCTCTGGGGATTCACGCCTTTCCCCGTGCTCCGGGTCGGATTCGGAGCCCCATTTGAGCTCCGAGAGCGCTGGAGCAGAGCACGGCGCTCCCGGCTGCCTGGTGTGAGGGCAAATTGCAAAGCTCGGCAGGGGCAAAGTGGGAGCACCCCAATTTTAGAGGCACCCATGGGTGGCAGGCAATGGGGTCAGGGCTGCTGCCCTGCTGCTTGGACCACAGACGTGGGGTGAAGGTGGTTGGGATGGAGCACCCGGTGCCACACGGATGGGTGACGGCGAGCGGCACCGGCACCGGGGACGTGCCCGGCACCCCAGGAGAGCGCAGGGGCATGGGGTGCCTGGAAAACCCTGCTCCGAAGCACAGCTCGGCAGGGCACTGGGGGCACCAGGACCCCCCCCCTCTATTTCTTCCTCCCCTCCCAGCCCAGGCCCCGGAGAGGAAGCCCCCTCGAGTCCCGTGTCACGGCCACACAATTGCACCGAGTTTGGGAAGGCTCCGGGTGATTTACTGCATTTTCCGATCCCTCACGCATCGGGGGGTGTGTGCGTGTGTGGATATTTCTCTATTTCCCTTCCTAAACAATCCCATAAATTGAAGGCTGTTTTTATTTTTTCCCCCTTTCAAACCCAACCATTTCCAGGTATTCTTGGGCTGCAGCTGGGAATTCATTTCCTTCCATCCAGGAGCGAGGAAAATCCCTTCCCTGCAGGACAGCCATGGGCAGAGATGTGTGTCCCCCCCCCCCAGCCCCAAATCTCTCCCCAAATCTCTGCTCAAAGCATCCAAAAACCGTCTCGAAATCCCAGCACCAGCTGCTACCCGACGGAAACAGCGCTGGAGATTTGAGCGGTCCCAACCCCGGGTGATTCTCCCCAATTTTGCCACCAGCTTGGAGCTGGGTGGGCGAGCCCTTAGAGGTCTGGGGCCTCTCCCCAAGACCCCCCCGGGGATGATTTCCAACCCCCCCCAGCCTGGTTTTATCCCCTCCTTTAACCGGGCCGCAGCGCGCCTCGAGGAGCGTGGAAGGAGGAGTGGGGAAACTGAGGCACGGAGCGGACCCCCCCAAACATCCCCCCGCGCCCCTCGCTGGCCCCGGCAGGGCCGTCCCCACAGCCCCCCCCTCCCCACGGGTCCCTGCTGCCACTCGCGACGTGCTGCTGCCACCTGGTGGCCCCGTGTCCCCTCCGTCCCCAAGGGTCCCCCCCCCTCTCCACCAGCCCCAGGGCGCATCCTGCGTGCGCCCTGCCTGGGCTCTGCGCACGGGGAGTGGGACAAAAAGGGGGGGGACCCCCACCCCCAAAAGCACCCACGCAGCGGGACCCGGCCCCAAATCCCCCCCCCCCGGGGCGCTGCGGTAAGGGATGGGGAAACTGAGGCAGGGGGAGGCAGCGCGATGCTTTCCAAAGCTGCCCCCCCGGCATCGCCGCCTTCCCGCACCGCTGGCCAAAGCGAGTAGGGTGTAAAAAACAAAAAAGGGGGGTGAGGGGGGGTCCGGCCCCATCTGCTCCCAGCTTTTTTTAGAGCTCCCCAGCCCCGCAGCTGCTGAGCAGGTGCCGTGGGTGGGTGATTTATCTGCACGTCGGCATCTCGGGAGCGCTGCCCGGGCACGGGACTGGGATCTTTTGCTCCAGAGGGGGCTGAGGGATGCCAGCCCCGTGTGGGTGCGGGCAGGGGGCTCAGGGGGGGGCCTGCGGTTGTAGGGTGCAGCTCCCCAGGCCTCCCTTGGTCTCCTCGAGGTCTCCCCTCTCCGGCTGCAGCACCGAGATTTCTGCTCCTCCCAGCAAGGAGCGGGAAAGCTGGCGAAACCTGGAAGAAAACCTGAATTTCATGCAAGATTTGCAGAAATCTGTTGGGTTTTCCAGCTCCCTCCTCGCAGGGCTGGGAGAAGGGCCCTTCCCCGCAGGCCCCGTGCTCCATGTGGGTGCTCTGTGCTTGGGGTGCAGCCGAAATGGGAGCCCTCCTGGGGGTCCCCAGAGGTGGGATTCAGGCTGCAGAGCCCATGGAGACCCCCCAGGACCCGCAGCTCCTCCCGGTCCCACCAGGACCCCGCGCCCACCCCACGCGTGGCGCGTGCCGTGCGGAAACCTTGGGCTCCCCCTCCCTTTCCCTTCCCCTCCCCACTGGAATCCAGCTTTCGGGATCAAAAATACTGCTGGCTATTTTTAAAGCACCGACTTAGCCCCTCTCCTCCTGCGGTGACGGATCGGGCTGTCGTAAAGCTCAGCTGTTTTCCGCTCCCTCCCCACCGAGCCCGGGCAGTAACGGGCTCGATTCCCCCCTCGCTGCCACCCCTGGGGGGACCCGGAGCGAAGCCTCGTGCCCGAGGTGCTGGGGGGCCTTGGGCAGCACGACCCACTGCTGCCGGGGTGAGTGGAGCACGGGGATCCTCTGTGCCGGGTGGGACAGGGGAGGGGGCTCCGTGCCCGGCGTGGTGAAGGCGTTGGGGTTGAGCACCGCGCACGCGTCCTCTCCGTCGGAGGGAAGCGAGAGCTTCTCTTCCAAGGAGCTGGCACCCTCTGCCTGGCGAATCCTGGCTTCTCAGGCACCTGCTCCTCTTCCGACCGTGATCCCGAGGTGGGAGCAGGCACGGGGACGATGCTCACGGCTCCTCCCTGGCTGGCCCCGTACCCGAGGGATGCTCGGGGGCACGAGCCGTAGGCGCTCAGCGGCACGGCGAGCGATGCTGGCGGCTGCTCTGCCCCCGGCCAGATGCATCCAAAGCCCTGACGGAGGCAGGCAGCTCCTCTGAGACCAGTGCTTGGGGTGTGATTTGCTGAGCGTCCCCCTCCACGCTGGCTGGTTTGGGTGCAAACCCCCCCGGGGTGCTCCCGATGACCCCTGTAGCAGGGGGGTTGCAGCTCGGAGCTGAGCAGGGGCTGTTCTCCCAGGGCGAATCCAACCTCGAAAGCCCCGGGGTTAGACCCTGCCGCAGGGGGTGGTGTTGGAACCGGGGGATCTTTAAGGTCCCTTCCAGCCCAAACCGTCCTGCAATACCAAACCCTTGCCAAACTCGTGGTGCTGGGGCTGGGGCTGAGCCGTGGTGGCACCAGCTCGACCTCCAGCCTTCCCCAGATGAGCGTCCACGGGGGTGATGCTCAGAGAAAGCCCCCCACTGCCTGCTTCACACCACGACCGGGGTCTTTCCCCACTCCCAGTGCTTGGGAAGCCCTCATCCTTCGGGACAGGAGGGTTGGGGCGAGTCCAGCTGCTCTGCGGACAGCTCCCCAGCCTCATGGTGGCAGGATTTGGGGATCGGGGTTTTTGCACCTCCCAAACCTCCAGCTGATTCCTCTGGTGGGAAGCTGGGCGCTGGCTTTCCGAAGAGGTTCGATGGCAGCTGCTTTTGGCTCGGCACCACGCTGCTCTGCCAGCCTGGGAGAAATTCCCAGCCTCCTCGACCCAACGTGTGCCTCCAGCCCCGGCTCGGAGAGCTGCCTCATCCCAACGATGCTGAAGCAGCCGATGGCTTCATTTCAGGATCCAGCACCCCCCCAGCACCCCCAGCACCCAGCCCAGGGGTGCCCCATTGCCCAGCTTCTCCCCTCGAGGCTGCGGCAGCCGGGACGCCCCAGCCTGGTTCCTCCAAACGAAATCTCCCCCGGCCAAACGAGGCGGCTGGGTGGGATGCCGAGCGGCTCTCGCCCAGCCCAGATGGCCCCGGCTGCCGTTCCCGGAGGAATTCCCACCTGCCCGGCCCCCGCCCCGCGTGTAACCGATTCCCCAGCTCCGTGTCGGTGCCGGGGGCTCGCTGCGGGGGAAGGCAGACGGGAGGATGCCGGGCACCCAGCACGGACCTCGGGAGGCTGTGCTGGGATTGGGGTGTTATTTTTTTTAAACCAGATTTTTTCCACTCTCCGGTTATCCCTCTTTACCAGGTAACAGACCCGGCACATAAATACCGGGCAGGGAAGGGAGCTGCAAAGCCTCCGTGCGTCCAGGGGCAAAAAAATAACCGGGCACCCAAAGCCTCCCTCCTCCGGTGGCTGCTGATGCACCACCAGCTGGGATTTGGACCCAAGCTGCTTTTTATTCCTTGTTTTCCCTTTCTCTAACCACAACCCACGAGGAAGATGGACTGAGGCACGTAAAACACGAGCCTGGCTGCGGATTTCAGCTTGTTCTGCCCCGAGCAGCCCCCGTCCCCCCGTGCCATGCACCCTCTCCCTCCGCACCCCGCGCTTGTTGTTCTTGGCCGGGTTTTCGCCTGGCTAAATTTAGGCGGCTCGATTTCGACACCCATCCCCTGCCCCGCCGGGGGGGAAGAGGCCCGGAGCAAAGGTAGCGAGGAAGAGGAGGAGCGGGGTCTGCTCCCCGAAGCAGCACCTCGGCTTTCAGCCGGCTGTGAGGCCAGGCGGGTGCCGAGGACGGAGGCTGGCACGTGGGTGACAAGGAGCTGGGTGACAAGGACAAGGACAAGGAACCCCAGGTGGCCACCGGGGAAGGAGCCCCCAGGGCCGGGGGTCCTGAGGAAGCCGACGCAGGTGAGCGGGGCTGCGTCAAAGCAAGGGCAGGGACGGGGGTGCCGGCAGCAGGACGTTGGCGCAGGCACCCAGGGGTGCCCTGGGGTGCCACGAGCAGGGACCCCATGGGAGGAGTGGGGTGTCCAAGCACCCTTTGCTGCCCCAGGAACTGTCCAGGAACCACCGAGGCACCTCCTTGGGCTCCTGGAGGGTCTCCAGGAGGGTCTCCAGGTGCCTGCTGCTGCCTTTCTCCTTGGGATCAGGACATCCCGAGGAAGGTCCCGCTGCCTGCAGGCCCCATGGTGGGGCCTCTCCATGCCCCAGGCCGTCCCGTTACACATTAACCAGCTGCTTATCAGCACCGAGCGCTGCGCCGGGGACACGTCCCCTCCGTGCCACCAACCCCAGGGGTTGGAGTCTCCAGCTCCAGGAGGGATGCGTGGCAGCTCCCAGCCTGCTCCAGCAGCTCCTGGGCCAAGATCTGGGCTCGGAGCAGGCGCAGAGCTTGTGCATCCCGTGCCAAACGTGAGCCCAGCTCCCGGCCGTCGCACCGGGACCTCTGTCCCCATGCCCCTGGCTGCAGGGAGCAGTTTCCCTCCCGCCTGAGAGCAGCTGGCAGCCGGAGCCTCGCCAGCAGGTTTGAGGCATGTTTTTGCTGCAGACACCTGCCCCGTTTGCCATGAATCCAGCTGGCAGAGGGACACGGGGGGAGGGGGGGGGGCTGCCAACGCGCGGCTACGTCACCGCGCCAGCCAGGACAGCTAATGGGGTTTGTTTGATGGCTGCAGCCACAGCAAAGGGAGCTGGAAGGTGCTAGACAGCGCTGCAGGACTGCCTTGATTTATTTATTTACGTAATTTTTTTGCAAAAAAAGATGTGATTTCAGGCTTTTTTCCCTCCCGCGTGCAGCTTTCGCTTGCCAGCAGTCGCGGCGCCAGCAGGACGCGCTCCTGGGGCTGCCCGGGGCGCATCGCCGCGGGCAGCAGCCCCTGGCATGGCACACAGCTAAAAAGGAAGGGGGAAAAAAACACAGATTTCACGTGCAGTACCTTCAAAAGGACGTTTGCAAAAGGCTGATTAAGAACCAGCTGCTAACTGAGCCGCCAAGGGCTCAGGTCCCCAGCTGCTGGACCCCGGCCACGTGCAGCGAGTGGCGACGTGCTCCTCGCATCGCCCTCGGGCCAGCTCGAGCCTCCTGCACCCAGAGCCAGCGCCGGGGGCTCAGAGGGGGAGCAGCCACGCGCTGGCCGCGGGGGGAAGGTTTTTGGGTGAAGCAGGAGGTGCTGGTGGCACCCGGCGGTGCTGGCTGCGGGCTTCACGGTGGCCACGCTAAGAATTTGGCTTTTCAGCTCCTAAGCCCTGGGACGCTGCGCTCCAGAGCTTGGGTTTTCACTGCCCCACGCCCGCTGGGGCTGTCAGAAGGATGGAGCAGCCCCCGCTGCACCCATCGTGTAGGGCAGCGCGGGTCCTCTCCGCATGCATCGGCCGCTCGTGCCTATGCCAGGAAGCATCCCCGAGCTGCAGTGGCTGAAAACAGCCAAAAGAAACCAAACCCTCTGGGGTTTTGCCCCAAATTTCGCCTTCCCCAGGAGGCAGCGGTGCAGCCGAGCCCTGCAGGGCTGCGTTTTTGCAGCTGGTGGCTCTGTACCTGCAGCCCCGGGCACTTTCTGCTGCAGCTCTCCCACCCCACCTCTCTCTGCTCGCAGGGGAGCTGCCGGATGCGGCAGGGGGCAGCCAGCGGCTGAGCGACCCCCCAGGCTCTGCATGGATTGGAATGGGGAAAGCTGCCTGCCGTAAGAGCCCCGGGCAGCTGGAGAGCCCCAGCTTCTTCCTTCCAGCGCTCTTCCTCCTCCTCCTCTTCTTCTGCAGCCATGGTAAGGAGCTGCCCGGGCAGAGCGGTGCCAAAACCCCGACCGTGGTGGGTTTGGAGAGGACTGGAGCGAGCCAAAAAGCCTCTCCTTGGGGTCCCAGGCACTGAGCGCCCCCATCCCTCCACAGTTGTAGGGTGGGCAGCAGGGGGATGCCCCGGGGAGCCCCCCAGAGCTCTGCTCTCCCTTATAACCCCTCTGCTTAATGAGCTTAATTGGTGCCCGCTGGGATGAGTTCGTTAGCCCTCCGGGAGCGGTGGCAGCGTGGCGGGAAGAAGCCCGGGTGGCAGGACGTCCTTGGTGCAGTCCGGCCCATCACAAAAGACTGATGATTGCCCAGCCTGGCCAAGGCTGAAATGGGAGGAGGGGGTTTCCCAGCTCAGAAATTCCCATTTGTCCCCTGGCAAGCCCTGGGGCGAAGAATCTCGGTCTGAGCCACGTCCCGGGGTCACGGTCGCAGTGGCAGCGCTGGCTCGCGGCCGCGCTCGTGCCCCGGGTACAATCTCACGTCCCAGCTGCCCCAGCACAGCCCCTCAGCCCCGTCCCTTTTTGCACTGGTCCCAGCCCGTTTTTCTGCAGCTGGCAACCCCGAGTTCATTCCCTCCCCTCGCTTAAACCGGCCGCCGAGCTCATTAATTGCGGGCGCTCCCGTTGCGGGACGGTGGTGGGGAGGCGGTGGGGGCTGCCCCTTCCCCGCTCCTGCAGCTCTGCTGGGACGCCCTGGGCCGTCTTCGTCCCTGTCCCTTCTCTCCCAGTTTCTTCCCAGTGCAAGATCCTGCGCTGCAACTCGGAGTACGTGGCCGCCACCCTCAACCTGCGCGGCTCCGGCAGGACGGCGGCGTACTGCAACGCGCTCCGCTCCTACTCCCACTGCACCCGCAAGACGGCTCGCACGTGCCGGGGCGACCTGGCCTTCCACTCCGCCGTCCACGGCATCGAGGACCTGATGATCCAAAACAACTGCTCCAAAGAGGGTCCCACGTCCCCCCCCCGGCCCCGACCCCCGGCTCCCAACCACCAGGGCTTCGAGTCTCTGGATATCTGCGACTATGAGAAGAGTTTCCTCTACAAGCACGGCCAGCCCCCCAGCTACCAGCACTGCGCGGCTTTCGGGGACCCCCACATCCGCACCTTCCATGACGACTTCCACACTTGCCGGGTGGAGGGCTCCTGGCCCCTCTTGGACAACGACTACTTGTTCGTGCAAGCCACCAGCGCCCCGGTGGCCAAGGGGTCCAACGCTACGGTCACGAGCAAGGTAACGCCGGCGAAAAAAACCCCTCACCTCCGGGGTGCAGCGGTGTGGGGCGCTCCCTGCCTCGATAAAAGGGCTGGGGAGGGCAGTGGCAGCTAAACCCTTGTGGGATTGGGCATTAATGTGCTCAGAACGAGGGGTATGAAGGTCATTTGGGGAGCAGGGAGTGCTCCCATCGCAGCGCAGGGATGGGTTATTGGGGGGTGTGCGGGGTGCCGCTGTGCGCTCCGTCCAGGCTTGGCTCCTCCCTGCTTTGTAGCTGATTAAATGGCATCAAGGAAGGAAATTGCTTCCTGAAAGGACCGTGGGGGTGTGGGCGAGCTGGTGGGGGGGCAGAAGGGTGGGATCTGCGTTGCCCTCCCGTAGACGAGACTTGGGGTGGGTGCCACCAACCCGCCCCCTGCTGTGCTCTCCGCAGCTCACCATCATCTTCAAGAACATGAAGGAGTGCATCGACCAGAAGGTTTACCAGGCCGAAATCGGCAACCTGCCCGCCGCCTTCGAGGATGGCTCGGTGAACGGCGGCGAGAGGCCGGGGGGCAGCAGTTTGGCCATCCGGGAGCTCAGCCCCGGGCGGCACGTGGAGATCCGAGCCCAGTACATCGGCACCACCATCGCCGTCCGCCAGGCCGGCCGCCAGCTCTCCTTCTCCATCCGGGCGGCCGAGGAGGTGGCGAGCGCCTTCACGGAGGAGCAGGACCTGCAGCTCTGCGTGGGGGGCTGCCCCCGCAGCCAACGCATCTCCCGCAGTGAGTGCTGCTCTCGTAGCCGGGGGGCGGCCGAGGAGGCCCGGGCGCTCTGCAAGGAGATGCTGCCGGTGGAGGACGTCTACTTCCAGTCCTGCGTCTTCGACGTGGTGACCTCCGGGGATGCCAACTTCACCATGGCAGCCCACGGAGCCCTGGAGGATGCCAGGGTCTTCCTGCCCGACGCTGAGAAGCTGCACATCTTCCAGGCTGGGGCGGGCTGCCCGCACGCCTCTCCTTCCTTCCTCCTCCTCCTCCTCCTCGCTGCTTGTCTTTGGGTTCTTCAGTCGCACTTTTAAGTCCTGCTGGCCACTCGCCACTGGCATGGAGTACAGAGCAGGGGTAAGACGAGAGCGCTGCTGACTCAAGGCCCATGCCTGGCAGATCAAGAGAGATGCCTCGTCTCGGATCAGGTAGCTCTGCAGCGAGAAGGAATCGGAGCCCCAGACCTTTGGAGAGGGGAGCGCCGGAGGCAGAAGTCGCCAAGACTCCAGGTTGTCTCCGCTGCTCCTGCACGCATGGCACCGGCAGAGCCTCGCGCCTCTCATCCCCGTTTTTTATGTTGGATCCTGGTGTGGGTTTTCCTAAAGGTGAGGATATCGCGGCTGTACCAAAGAAAGAGAAACAGGCAGGGTGCAGGCGTGCTCGGACAGCCTCTGCCCCTCCAAGCCTTGGGTTTGAGAACAGGGGTTTGGGTTTGACCCTGGCAAGACACCGGTCCTCCCCGTCAGCCTGCTTTCCGCAGCCCCTCCAGCACTGCTACACCCGGCATCAGCTCAGGGACCGCACAGGTTCAGCACTAACAAAGCCCAGATCCCAGTTTCTACCAGTCAAAAAATGTCTTCAGGTGGATTTGGGGCCCCTCCACACCGCAGCTGCTGAAGTCACGTGGAGCAAGGCAATCAGACGGTTATCGGAGTGATATGACCGAGCTCTGAGGGTTGTTTTTTTTTCCACGAGAGCTGGATTTGACCCTGCCGTACGGAGCCCTCCTTTCTCCGGGCTGGTGCCACTGATTCCCAGCCCTCTGCGGTCGCAGAGCCTCAGGTCTGCGCCATTTCAAGCTCCTGTTGCTATTTTTCTTTGTTGTCTTGGCACCTGTCTAGGACTCGATATAGCAAGTTCTGGACTTTGGACCAGCGTTGAGTTTCAGGGAGAAAAAAATACCACTCGGCATTCCTCTCCTTTGGGCCCAGCTCACATCTAGCCAAGACTTCAGTTCAGGTTTGACTTGTAAAGGAGAACTGATAACAAAGCCACCGAGCTGGCAAAAAGCCCTGCGGATGAACTGGTGGGCAGGGGAACTATTCGCAGATGTACATAAACACGGAGGTGAGGCCAAATGAGATGTTTAATATATTTAAGAGGTTTTAAGTAAAGCAGAGCTTCTATAAGTTAAGAAATATTTTCCATAGGCATTTTTTTTTTAATGAAGAGGACTCATTAAACCTTTGCCATCCCTGTCCCACGAGCGCCTTGCAAAGCCCCAACCTCGCAGCCCTGGGGCAGGATTTGGGCTGGGGAAGGAGAACGGCAAACCACCAGGTGAGGGGGATGCAGAAAGCGAGGTTTGCAAGTCACATTTCGGTGCACCCCCAGCTTCTTTGGTCCATTTTTGTTTTTTTTACCTCTGCCTCTTCCACCAGCAGTGAATGCAGAGATGTTTCTTAGCCCTATCGGCATGATTTCCTCCTCCACCACAGCCTCGAGGCACACGGTGACTAGCGTGAGAGTTTCTCTGTTCCTTGTGCGCTGCTCTCGCTAATCCCTGAGCGTTTTGACATTAAAGGTGTCTATTTTTGAAGTCCTCATTTCCTGCCATCCGTCTCATTCCTTTTGGTCGGCAGCAGCAGGTGAAGATAATAATATCTCGCCTTCCACCCACTGCTCCTTTTTACTCCGGAGCACTTTGTGGTTTATATAAACCCGCGCCGAGGCAGGAGAGCAGCCAGCCGGCCTCGCCGCCCCTCTCCACCACGTCACGGGTCCCCCGGGGTGGTGGCAACGATCCCCCAAAGGGACAAAACCCTCAGCAGCCCCGACCAGCCCGCAGCATGAATAGTCCCGGAGCTCCGTGCAGGAGCTCATGGTACCAGACCTCATGGTACCTCCAAGGCTGTGTATCAGGGACAGGAGAGCCCCCAGGAACCCCCAGCGATGCGAAGGCAATTGGGATGACCCCACACGTGCCCTGGATGTCTCAGGTGCCGCACTGGGTGTAAATCGGAGCCGCAGCCCGGTGGGGAACCAGGCGGGCACGGTGTTGAACGGGTTGGAGCCCGCTCCCAAGATTGTTCCCTGCTCTGTATCCAAAGCGTAATGATTTTGGGGGAAGGAAGACCTCTGGAAGACGTGCCGAAGGCTGTGGGGAGAAGGGAGCCCTTTCCACCCCGGACAGATTGCAGGCTGAAATAAAGAACTGGAACGTAGGCGCGGATCCAAGGCCCATTGATGTCGACGGGAGTATTTCCATTGACGTCAGCGGGCTTGGGATCGAGCCCTCGGTTTCCTAGCATATGTCACCTGCTAAAAAAGACCCCGGCAACACCGGCCAGCGTTTTCACAAGCGAGCCCGGTTTGGGCCATTCTGCATGCAGATGCCCAACCTGAGCGGTTGCAGCAAGGGAATTCCCAGCCTAAATCCGACCTGGGGTTCGCCTGACCTTGTACACACTTGTCAACAGCACCGGGGCTCGGGGGAATGTCCCTTAAATCCCATCTGGCTCCGAGTTCCAGCAGGTAGGGAAATGCCAAGGCATTTTCTTGGGGCGTGAGGTGTAGGAGCCAAAGCTGAATCTTCATTAGCAGCTTTCCCCTTGCTGTAAATGAGCCGGTGAGCAGAGGCAGCCGGCTTGGCCAGCTCCTGGTGCTCCAGCGAGGGCACAAAGCTGTGTATGGCCACCAGCCTTCAAACCAGAGCTCTCCAGACCAGGCACAGGTCTTCAGAACGGTAACACCGGTCTAAAAACTGCTTTGAGGGGTGCATTTCACGCCACGCCGTGGCACGTTTTGTTAGCGAGATGCTAAAGCCAGGAGCAAACGTCCTCCCCAGAGCCTGGGGTCAGATTTGGGGTTGGGTTCCTGATGGCCAAAGCCTCACCAGCAGGAAAGGTGCGTGGGAACGGCGACACGGGCACGTTTCAGTGAGGGCTTGGCCAGGTGCTCTCCAGGCATTTGGCAAGACAAAAAGCCAAAAATCTAATAAAAAGAAGTGAGCAGCCAGCGGCATTTGGAGAGCAGACGCACAGAAGCGCATCCAGACGCGCGCCTAGGACTGAGCAGGGGGGGACGGAGCGATGTGGGCAGCCTGGCAGCTCCGTGAACCCCAAAAGGATGGGGATGGAGGAATTCAAGCCCTGCCAACAGCCCGTGCCGTTCCTGGAAAGCCCTCTAGATGTCCGCAGCATCCCAGGGATGAGGAGCAGGGGATGGAGCCTGCAGGGAGAGCAGCAGCCCGTGGGTGGCAGCCCTGGCCCCAGGCACCACCAAAAGCTCCCCGAAAGGTGCTCGGTGGAAAAGTTAGAAAAAGTCCTTATTTCTTCGCTGTTTCCATCATCCACAACCTCTGTTGGGCCCTTCCAAGGGATACCCAGATGGAGCAGGGATGGGGGCTCAAGAAAACTTTTGCTTTCCAACATTTCTTCCTCTCTTAACAAACAGATTTAAATTCTGGCTGCCACCAGAGGCAAAGAGGTGGCGGTGGGTTGGTTTGCAGAGCCCAGGGCTGGCTTTGCTCTTGCAAAGAGCAGGACTGGGGGGTCAGAGCAGAGCCCAGACCGAGCAGGGAGGCAGCTGATGCAAGCAAAGCCTCCTGCGCAGGGCAGGTGAGAGACACGGGACTTCCCAAGCTCCAGAAGTCAAATTCCCCCTTGTTTGTGGATGACCGAGCCCGGTCTGTCACAGGCTGTTGACTCTCAGCTCCGGCTTTCCCCCCCTCTTCTCTGTTGCAAAAACACAATCTGGCCAGAAAGGAGGTGAAGAAATCCCGTCGCAGCAAGGAACCATCTGTTAGGGAGAGCTTTCACGTCATGTTCCTGGCAGGAGCTGGGAATCTGGGCCCTGGGGGGAAAAATCCTCGCGCTCACGCCCTGCGAGGACTCTTCCCTGTTCGGCAGGGGTTGGGAAGGGGAGAAGGGGCTCCAGGTCCGTGCTGTGCGTGCACACAGCAGCCTGCACAGTGCCTCGCATTGAAGGCAGAGGAAAGCCAGGCCCTTGCTGTGGATGGAAGCAGCAAAAAAAAAAAATGATTTGGGTACTGGGGATCTGCGGGATGTGCCCTGAGATTTTTCCAGCCCGTTTCACCAAGGGACAACTCAACCCCAAACACCTCCGGAGCCCCAGCGGTGTTGTGGCCCTTGCCCCAAGCCAGGCACCGCAACCAAAACTGTTGATTTTTGTTCAAAAGCACGGATGGAAACGCTCCCCTTGCTTCTCTGCCTTAGTTCTCCTGCTCCCGAACCGAGCCAAATCACTGCCGTGCTCTGGATGCGGCCACAGCCGAACACCAGCGGATCCGAGCAGGGCAGCAGTGTCCTGCCAGCAGCCCCACGGGCCCCCCAGACCCCTCATTTTCCAGCCACACGGCCCCGATAGGATCGGGGTGGGATTTTTTAGGCGCTGCTCCCCGCACGCAAACAGCGCTGCCAAAGGAAATGCCTCTTCCGCCCCGGCCGCAGAACAGGCACACTCTGTCCCTTCTCCTGGGCCTGTTGTGAATCCCTTCGCGTCCCTCTCTTCCCCTCCTCCCTGCCCTGAACGTGCTGGAAGTCACCATATATGGGGAAAAAAGGCAGAAAACGGCAGCGAGGAGCTCCGGGGAGCTCGGCACCACCGGCTGCGGGGCGCTGGGGGGTGGTCGGGGCAGAGGACGCTGCACCAAGAGGAGCCTGGCTTCTCCTGGAGACCCCGGGTCGTGGCTCCCCATAGCCCACACCAGGAAATTAGGGTTTTATTCCTCGGGGTTTGGCAGGAGAGCAGTTTCCAGCACGGCGTGGCCATTGCGGAGCCCGGCACCGAAAGCAGAAGGGCGAGCTGCTGAGTCGCACTGCCCGGTTTCTGCCTCGCTTGAATTCCTTCTCCGTGACCCACTCAGCGGCCCCTGCTTCCCGTGACTCATTTTAGGGCCTTGTTTTCCAGCCCAGCCCTGCTGTTTTCGACCCGCCTTACACCCAGCACACTCAGTTCCTCGTGCAGCTCTCCTCGCCCCAGGCTGGGTACAGCAGGAGGGGACATGGCTCTGGTCACCCTCTTCACCCACCCGTGTTGCCGCAGCCTCACCTGGGGCTTTTCTCCTTCCCTTCAAGGCCAGGGGGATCCCCTAAACCTCACATCACCAGTGGGAAGTGAGCTGAGAGGGGGCAAAAGCCTTAAAATAATCATTGGGGGGGAGCAAGGAAGCACCCAAGGTGCCCAGAGCACCTTGGAGCACCAAAGCTGCCCAGAAATCAAACTGGCCTCTCCTCTGATGTCCTCGTTCTGAGGGGACGTGACATTTTGGGGCTTTTTTTTACAAGTTGAAGCTCCATTTCCAAATCCTGTGCATAACTCGGAGTGCTGCTCGCGTGGGAAACCTCGTGAACCCAAACTCATCCTGAGGAAATCGCAGCTTCCCCTCCTCCTGCGGGAGGACCGCGGAGGCATTTCCAGCCGGATAGAGGTCAGGGGAGCAAAGGGCAGGAGCTGAGCGACAGCTAAAAGCAAATTTGGAGGGGATACAGGAGCTGGAACGTGCCTTGGACCAGATCTTTGGCAAGCTCTTTGGCTTGGGACTTCACTGTCCTTTGACATCGCTGGAATGCGTTTTGCTGTCCGGCCACAGCCAGGCCGGATTTATCTTTTCTTGGAAGACGGGCGGAGGAGGAAAACGGAGAGGGAAAGCACGAAAAAGGGAACGCTGGGCCCACAACCAAGCTGGGGGCTTCGGGATCGCGTATCCCAAAGCTGGCAGGGCTGGCGAGAGAGCAAAGCCGCAATTCTCATTAACCCAGCACCTCGATCCCCAGCAAGAGGCAACGGGGAGAGCTGGCAGCAGGAAAAGGTGCAGGCCCTTCGTTACGCCCCTAATTGTGGAATAATTTCCCCAGAGCAGGGAGATCGGCCCCGCAGCTTGGCAGGATATCAGTTTATCAGGTCGCCCTCTCAGTTTATGCTCGCAGGTGTGAATTAATGCTGAGGGAAGCAGAAGCCGGGAAGGCGAAAAGCAAAGGGAGGTGTGTGTGTGCCAGAAAGGCACAGACAAACAAGGCCCACGTGAGCCTTGGGGCGAAGGACAAAAGAGACAATTCCTGAAAGGAAAAAAAAAATAAATAAAAAAAAATAAACAAAAAAACCCAACACCATCCCTTTCCTCGTTAAGGGTGGGGAGGTTTGGGTGACGCCGAAAAGATTGTTCGGCCGTTTCCTCCACTCCCCGCGCTGCCCTTCCTGAGCTGAGGCTTGGGGAAAGCGGCGAAAAAAGCCTAAAAAAAAAGAAAAAAAAGGAAAAGCAAAAGTCAGGAGGGAGGGGGCATCTGCTTGGCAAAAATAATTGAGGAAGGAAAACGTGAGGGGGTCGTGAGCGGGGGGCCACAGGCAGCGCCCCAAATCCCTGTGGGGGAACGGGGCCGAGGAGATGTGGGGGGGTAAAAAGGGGTAGGAGGCAGGGGGCAGCTTGTGGTGGGGGGGCTTGTTGATAAGAAAGGAGCCCCCCCGGGGTTGTGTGCCCCTCCCCTGGTTGTGTGATGAGCTGTGGTGACGCCGAGGCCCGGTGATCTCAGCCGCGTGCCACCGGCGCTGACACCCCCGGGGTGACGGCTGGAAAGAACCCGGAGTG